CAGAATAGTGGATGGCAGTTTTTGTTGCTAAATCTGATCCCAAGTTATTTTGAGCGTAGGGCTATCTGGTGCCTAATTGTAATCGGTGCGTTTTGTCATTTTTTATTCCACTAGTAATTTTTGATGCTATAAATATCTAAGTTGCAAAGTCAAACAAAATAATAATGTTAGAATAAAAGTAAAGTTTAACAGTCAATGTTCGAACTCTTATATTTTTTCTCATCTCACCAAATACGTCCACCGTTTATGAACTCGTAAAATTAATCATCTAAACCTACGCAGGTCGCACATTCTCTCTAATATGTATCCACATTTACAAGCACTTCGCATATCACTTGCACTTTCACACACATCACAAACAATTACACACACATCACATGCACTTTCGCACACATCACACGCACTTCCACACACACCACGTGCACTCAATCATCACACACACTCTCACACACTTACAATTTAATTTTTATTCTTATATTTGTGTACATATGTATATTTTTATATATTTGTATTTTTTTTTGTTATCACTCTTTTTTGCAGTTAAGTATACATGTAACTTGTTAATATAGATTTATAAATATTGATCAGAATCTCTGGAGGTGGAGGCCTGGTAACCTAAAATACAGGGTATCCTAGTTTAGGCTCCAGCCTCTACAAATTTTCCTGTCATGTTTTTTACTTTAATATCTCTTATGTTTACTTAAGTTGTTACAAATTTGTGGAGGAAATAAAGAATTTATTTACTTACTTACTTACTTACTTACTTACAGTCCAGTACTGCCACCGGGTGATCCCACCAGGATACTTGGATGATAGCTCCTAGAATCGTAGGTCCTCATCATCGATCCGCCGGCTAGGGTTGTTCCGATACCACCAAAGTATCGATACCTACTCAAATGAGTAGGTGTTACCACCACCAGCGAATTAGCACTCGAAGTGCGTTGCGTGTTGTGCAAGCACAATTTTGAATTGTGTACTTTCAACTTTGTACGATTTTTCATGTATCGGATAAAATATATCGATAGTACTTATCGATACCGAATGATACGATAATATCGGGTTGATTCGATATATCGAGGTCATATATCGATATATTTTTTAATATCGATATATATAGAGCACTCCTAATAAACTTCAAAATTATCGATACTTACTCATATCGATACTTTTTTCGGAGATATAAAATATGTCCATACTTTAGATTTTGGCGGTACCATAATAACAAAAAAAGTAATAAACCTTTAACAAGCACGCACTGCACAATTAAATAAATAAACAGTCATTTCTTTTTCATAGTATTATAGCCAAAATGGATAATTCTGCTAATCGATCGCGATTTTGATAATCGATTATTACTGCTAATTTGTCGTAAGAATACTTAGGTATTTTAACTAAACATTAATTTCAATAAAAACTGTAATACAAAAACCGACAAAACTACATAACAACCCGCTATTTCTCTTTGTAAACTTCGCTCATTCGCTGAGATGTATGTTCAAAATTCATTCAAAAATGATCCAAAGGGACCCAGATAGATACATTTATTTATCTCTAGCACTTCGCGGTTTGCATTTGTTTGCTGTGAAACGGTGAAAATGGAAAGAAAAATAATTTTTGGAACAGATGATCTTTTCTTTTCCTGGGAAGTGGGATTAAGGTTAAATATT